TTTTCGGATGAACCGACAACACTTTTCAACGTAGTTCACAATTTCAACTTTATTAATGCAGCGGAAAAGAATTCAATTTTGTCACTAAAACATCCTCAACTAATATCAAACAGCATTTAATCAAATAAAAAAGAGTTATAAATATTCCAACATAATCACCAAAACAAAACAACGAAATAACAACGTAAGCAAGTGTTTATCCCCCCAGTGTTATGTATCATAGCACTGACACCAACTCAAAAATAAGAAGAGCAACCTCTTCTAGACTCTGCAACTTCAGACTACTCCTGATTATCTGTATGTTACCCACATAGAGGCAGCATTCAAACAGAAGGGGTGAGATATGACAATTATATAATAAGTTATATAATAATAAGTATGCGACAAATATATCATGTAAGATTTCATGCTCGACGTCATCAACCACAAATTCATAATGATTATACAAACACACATAATTATCGTCATATGTCATACAACACATACCAATTATACAACTCAACATCATCATATCAACAACTCGACAATATGCAATGTGACTGACACTGATGCAAAATGCATGTGGTACCATCAGGGAATAAGCCCTCTCCAAAATTACAAATAGGGCAATAACAGGGCATAAGCCCTCAACAATTTTCCAATCCCGGCCAACAACAGGGCATGAGCCCTTGACGATGAAATACATGCAACATCGACATGCAACAACATAAATTATGCAACCACAAGGTATAAGACTTCAACAATGTGCCATTTACATGCCAGCAAAAACATCATCATACTGAAATAAAACATGTAATTCCTTCTCTTATCATTTATATAACACTGATGCATTCAATCGCAACATTTTACATTACGACACGTACGACATACACACACATCATAATTCTTCTAACACAATATTAGTCTACTGCCATCCAAATGAATATTACTTTATAGAAGATATTTTTAGCTTTCCAACGGTCTATACGGTGTACCAAACAGACACCCGAGTCAAAAGATATGAATTTTCTAAGTTTTATAATTTTTTCAGAATTTCGCTCAGGAAATCGATTACCCAAAATGGTAAATCGATTTCTCCAATGTAACATGGGTATTTTTCAAATTTTCACTCAGGAAATTGATTACCCAAAATAGTAAATCGATTTCCAACATTCCATTAGCCAAAAATAAGTGTTTTTCATTCAGGAAATCGATTACCCAAAATGGTAAATCGACTTCCACAACAGGACAGTGAAAATTTTTGCAACTTTTGCTGCTACGGTATTTCATCTTTTACACCCAAAAATCCAATTTTGAAACACATTAAAATGCACCAATGCTTACAATTTCTAGCACATGTAAAACCATGTATTTCTAATCAAATCAAAACCTCAATTTCATCGATTATAGCCAATTTCAACGGATTAAATCAAAACAACCTACACCAAAACCTAACATGAATATCACCATATCTCTACTATTATACCACATATTAGAGATTCGGAACTCCACCCTTACCTTAGATTGTAGATTCCTCAAGCTTCAACAATGGTTCCTCTCTTCCTTGCTCTTCCTCTTTCTCGCGCCTGCTTTCTCTCGCTTTCTACGATCAATAAAACAAAATACTCTTCTATTCCTCTTATTTTTACTTATCTAGCCCTTGGACCCCTAATATCATAATCCCAACTTTTCCCTCACTTATTCAACACAATGTTACCACCTTGCCCCTCTTGTCTTACACTATTATTCTCCTCATATTATTATAAGTAATAATTCTAAATATTATTATTAAATCCAATTAACTCTAACTAATCATTTAAGTTCTAAATAATTATAAACTAATTAAATCCTCATATTACTGTTATTCCCACACTACTCATGGCATTGTATTCACCAATGCCTTACCATGCATCAGATAACCCACCATAATTCATATATTCACCAATAATCACCAGTATTCACACTAAATTAATTAAATAATTAATCTAGATTTTTGGGGTGTTAAATTAGAAATCATTAGAAAGCATTTTGAAATTGATCCAAGCCATTAAAAATAATTTTTTGCATGATTTTTTACTGCACGTGTCGACACATCTGTGTTTCAGGTCGACACATGTAACTCAATATTAAAGCATGTAGCTTATGTAAGTCTTAGGCTGACACGTGCATATTCCAGGTTGACACATACTGAAGCTTTCTGAAATTGCATAAATTCTTATTTTATGTGTCGACACAATCACTTTTCAAGTCGACACATTTGTTATCATTTTAAAGCTTGTAGCTTATGTAACATTCCGGTCGACACATGGCTCTTTATAGGTTGACACAATTTGTTTAAAAAATCACGTACGTGGCGATACATACAATTCTTAGATCGAAACATACTGTTTTAGTTGGTCAATTTTTTAGTTTCTTTTATTTTGAATTTATCCCTCTTTGCTCTAAAATTTCCAAAACTATAAATACTCTTTCATGCATCATTCCAACTTGTTGAAAACCATAAAAAGTATCATATTTTCTCATCATCTTTAACCTCCAATCTATCCATACACACTGACATTACATTGTAGTGATATTTTATTGACATGCCATCTAGACGAGGATTGCTAGTGTCCAATTGTGTATTGGGTTGAGTTTTGTAGGGGTTTTCATCCAAGCAACAATATTGGGTTTGTCCTCCAAGATCATTGGTTGATTTGGGGGTTTTTGTGTAAGATCGTTCGAGAAGGAATCGTCCATGTGAATCACCTTGGAGTGTTTGAAATCCTTGCAAGGAACCTTGGAGTGTTTGAAATCTTTTCAAGGAAGTAGCAAGTATTGGAAGATAGAATTGAAGGTCTTGTGTTTGACAGAGTGCAATCGGACTTACTCGAGTGAAATCCCTTGGGGTGTTTTAAATCTTTGCAAGGAAGTAGCTTAAGCAACAAATAGGTTTCATTTATCGGTTCTTGGTCTTTCTCAAGATCAAAAGAGGAGAATGGGTTCAATCAAAAACAAGCTTAGGGTTTATGGAGTTGATATTTAACACTTCTCTTGTATCAACAATTTTGCATAGTAAGAATTATCTTAATTCCATTGGAATTAGGCACAGACGTACCCACGCGCGAGGACGATAATGGGGAACTGGGAAGACAAATTCCTTGTGTCTCTTTTATTTTTGCTTTTACTTGCTTTGATTTTCATTGATCAATTTATCAAATAGCATTGCGTTATATATTGAATTGTAAGAATTTTCCTAATTAGTTTTTGATTTTAAATCTAGTGTTGATATAGATTATAATAACTTTTGATTATAAGTGGTTTTGTGTATCAATACAATCAAAGGAAAAATTGTGAAAGTTCACTTGCACACCGAGTGTTTGATAAATTGATTATACTAGTTCTTTTTAATATTGCCATTGGAAATAGCCTTGCAAGTAATTTTCATTGAACGATTAATAAGTTGTAAAATGATTCAAAGTTTATAATTAATATTATCATTCGTGTTCCATAATATTTTTGTTCTATGGTTTGCATATTCGAGCTTCCCAATAAGTGTTCATATAGACGACAAATTAAAAAGCTTTCGCGTCGTACTTTGATAAAACTTTTTCAAAACCAAATTTTATTTGGATATTTTCAACGGGGTATCTATTCACCCCCTCTAGATACCATTGACGTTGTCTAACCTCAACTTATGATACAACATAATGGTGCAATCTGTAGTCTCCCATTATTCTACTAGGCATAGAGGACAGTATATCGAACATTCATGTGTATTAAAAAGTTGTTTACACTTCAGTGCGTTCCTTCTAGAAGTACTAGAGTATAGTACTAAGAATATGATTAAGGATAGTATACCATGTAGAGTCGAGAGGACCCATAAGATAGGGGAACTCGCTGAGATATAGTAATCTCACCCTATCCATGTTGTATATTTTTAGGTATACTTTAGAACCTGAAGGATTTTTTAGAAGACTCGAAGATCAGAAACCTTGATGATTGATAGTTTTCTTTTCGCTCCATTACCTAGTTATTCGTTTTGAAACATCTGATTTATTATTCCTTATGTATTGTACATATTGTTATAATAGTTTCAAGGTGTTATTTATTTATTTATGATTTTCAATACCAAAATTAATGATTTATGTAATACGATCCTAGGAAATATTATGTGGTGTGTTGCATCATGTGCAATAAGTTAAGTCTATATCGTCTAAATTGGTATGATTGTTCCAATCATCCTCTATTTCTTTTTATGTATACTTAGTTGTATTTAATCAAATGTCTAAATGTGTTGTATGTTTGAAACATGTATGTGTATCTGAGATGTTTGTGCATTTCATTCTTTAATCACTCACCACTCAACGCATTAGTTTAATTTAATTTTGTCTGTTCATTGCATTCATGCATCATCATTCAATTTTTTGCATTAAATTTTTTCATGTGCATGAAAATAATTTTGAACATTTGCATTAAAGTAATTTTATCATTACAATCATATTTACATTTGTCAATCTCATTATTTTAAAATGTGTTAAAATTTTTCCAAATTTTGACTGACTGATTTAAATCAAATTCAACATAGGATTCGAATCAAAGGTCTGAGATATTTGACATTTTGGGCATGCTCGAATTGATTCGAATTAACCATTGCACTTGATTTGAATTAAGGTGTTATTTTCTCAAAAATAAAAACCCATTATTCAAATTAAATTTAACACTTGATTTGAGTCAGAACTCAAAGTCACACTTTATTTTTTAATTTCATTATGTTTTCTTTTTCTCTTTTCACTTTCATTTCATTTCATTTCATTTTCGAACCACTTCAAACCCTTTTCACAAATATCATCAACATTAATCATCATCATCAATCACTCCATCATCCAAACCCATCCTCATCAACATCAATAATGGTCTCTCATCTTTTCCATAAGAGTTTCTTTGACAGGAAACGAGGAAATAGACCAATTTCTTCATCAAATCCATCTCCTCTTCAATTTTCAAAATGGGCAAGAAGCAAGGTTTAAGGAAGCAAGGAAATGTCTGATGGAAAACTGAGCAAGCAGTCAAGTAAGAAATCTTCTCAGAGTCAAAACATTTATGTTATGAGCCACAAGGTAATTCATCAACTTCTTGTGGATAGTTTGAAATGGTACCATGAAAATTTCTTAAATAAGCCTGTTGATCCTGAGTATTATGTTGACGCTACTTCTAAAGTTGAATCAAGAGAAAAAATTCTCAAACAATTTGCAAACCACAACTTGTTGAAGTTTATTGGTATGAGCAAGAAATTTAATCATTATCATGTTAATGCTTTTTATTGCAACCTTGAACTTACTACTGTTGGACTTAAGAGTGGATTCAACGACAGTGTTGTGAAATTTTCATATGGTGATTTTACTAAGAAAATTGGTTTGACTTCTTCTGGTTCAAGTATCATTGATATTAGAGATTCTAGTTATGATATATTTCACTTTGTTTTTCTATTTCCATGTCGGTGGTTGAGAACCTTGGTATGTCAAACTTCCCCATCATTCAAGTGAAGTTTGATATTCGAATTTTGCATTGGATTGTTGTTAAGATGTTCTACATGAAATGTAGCAACAGGGGCATGGCTTACGACTTTGACCTATACCTAATATGGGATCTTCTTTCTAATCATTGATTTGATTGGGTAACCTTCATTATTGAGTGGATGCTTTTCTGCAAGTAAAATTCAAAAAGACCTTTGTTTTTCTCTTCTTTTGTGCAGTTGTTTATGGAGATTAATGGTATTGTTTCTAAGGAAGATGATTTGTTTGAGGCTAGGGAGAGACCTATCCCATGGAGGTGAGTATCCCTTTTATGGTTTTTTAGCGTATTTAGGGAACTAGCTCACGTGAGGTGAGTGACCCTAATGGTGGTCGGCGCTGCTAGATTGCTAGTGGGTGGTTAGAGTGGTGTATTATGTGATTACTCGGAGAGGAGTTCTCTTTTAGTAGAAATAGGTGGTTATAAGTGGTTTTCACTTGAGTGAATGAGGATCCTCTATCCCTCTTAGGGATAGTTCATTTATAGGAGTTCTCTAGGGTTAGGGTTTACGGTTCCCTAGACATGGTCTCATATAGTTACTAATCCCTTAACTGGAGTATCGACAACCATTTCCCCATTCATAGAAGATAATACAAGACCCAACTTTTTAGCACAATCATCATCAATAAAGCAATGTGTAGCACTCGTATTAAATAATAGTAATTAAATGAGTACTATTAATGAAACATATACCTCTGATCAAGCGGTCTCAACTGGATGTCTGAGTCCTAGCTAAAGTAAACACCTTTCCACAAGATCGAGCTTGCTTCGGTTTCTGGCACTGAGCACTGATGTTTCCTTCTTCACCATAGTTAAAACATATTAGCTCTTATGTAACACACAAAACCAGCAGGAGCACCTCTCCCACTTGGCTTATTACCATCAGCAACTTTATGTTTTCCTTTGTCAGTCGGAGTATTGTAAGGCTTCCCACGATATTGTTGTTGCTTGCCTCTCTTCTCAGTGACAATCGTGTAGTGAGCCTTACTATCTTCTTCATAAATCCTGCAACTGCTCACCAAATCTGAAAAACTTACGTATCCGCTGGTACCCGATTGCTTTCTTGATCTCTGAACGTAAGCTGTTTTCAAACTTGACACACTTAGAAAATTCAGTTGTCTCCTCAATGTAGTGAGGATAAAAGTTTTCCAATTCCACGAACTTGGCAGCATACTCAGTCATCGATAAATCTCTTTGTTTCAGCTCTAGATATTCAATCTCTTTTTTCCCGCGGACATTATCTGGGTAATACTTCACCAGGAATTCCCTGCGAAACACAGCCTAAGTAATAGCCTCACTTGTGCCCCTCAATCTTTGGCAAGTAGCAACCCACCAGTCATCAGCCTCTCTTGCCAGCATATGCGTACCAAAACGCACTTTCTGTGCATCAGAACAGTCCATGACTCGAAATATCCTTTTAATATCCTTGATCCACTCCTGCGCTCTTTCAGGATCATGCTTCCCTTTGAACGTGGGTGGACGGTTCTTCTGGAAAGTTTTCAAAGAACGAGTCTCATCGTTCCCACTAGCATTAGGAAAATTCTGCATTGCCTGACCCAAACCCTACAACGCATTAGCAAGTGCACCATTGCCTCTTCTAGCCATTGATTTGCTTCACATCACAACATCAAACAATAGTTAGATAGAAAAACATCAACGGTATTCCACTGTCACACTACATTAACGGCTCAACAACCTGGCCAGATGGACCGACCTGCTTTGATACCAATTGTAACACCCTATTCCCCAAACAATAATTTAATTATAAAATCAGAGTAAATTAATTTCTAACATACAACATCAAAATAGGATGTCACATTCTTCAATACACCGTACATTCTCAATAAAAAGGATACGCAACATAAAATCACATACTTCAAAGTCTTAAACTTCATCTCATTTATTCGCAGCGGAAAACATCAATAATAATGATAGTTTCAATTCTCCAACATAAGTTATGATCATCATCTTTCAGAAATCAGCATAATCATAAAGTAAATTCAAAATAACGGAGTTATACAAAGTTTACTCCCAACATAGTAAAATAAACGCAAAGCCCCCAAGTGTTACATATCAGAGAAAACACTGAATCATTCTACACAAATTGAGGTAACTCTTAAGCTAACCTCGACCTCGAGCTACTTCAGATCATCTGCATGGTACCCACGTAGAGGCAACATTCAAACAGAAAAGGTGAGATATCATAACAATATAAGAGGAAGCATAATAATGAAAAGATAGTAATTCAAGTACACATCATTATACATCTTTATCTCACACCTTTTTATCGTTCATCATACTACGAAACACATCAAATATAATTATGTGCACCAGACAACACAACATCCATCATAACGGAATTAGAAACTCGTTCAATAATCAAACCATCAATTACTAATAATAGTGTAATGAAATGAGGATGATAATGACTCTATGCTTGTGGTACCAATAGGGAAATACCCTCAAATTAATAATTCCAACTTGGGGCAACAATGCCAATACAGGCCATCTTTCGCCAATACAAGCCATCTTTCGCTAATACAGGCCATCTTTCATGAATGCATGCGACACTGACATGTAACAACTTAATTTACATTGATTATTCATACTTATCAATGTCTAGCCAATACAGGACATCATCATTATCATTATCATGCCATACATCATGCAAAATCCTTCGTACATCATTTATGAAACACTGATACATTCAATCACAATATTTTGCATTACAACACATACAACATACGCACACATCAGAATTCTTCCAATAAAATATTAGTCTACTTCCAAACAAATTATTACCATATTATAGAAAATATTTTTATCTTTCCAACGGTCTAAATGGCGCGTCAAATGGACACCCGTGTTAAAAGTTATGGAGTTTTCAAGTTTTCAAAATATTGTCAAACAGTGAGAAATCGATTGCACTAACAGAACAATCGATTGCACCCTGTTTCAGAGGTCAAAAATCATGTTTTTAAGAAGTGAAGTCAATTTCTCATTTACTTCAATCAATTACTTACTGAAACAGAAGCAAAAATTCACCAAAATTGAACTGTTGAATCGATTGCACCTGCACTGCAATCGTTGGCACCTGTGAAAAACAGTTTTATGAATTCAGAAAAATAGCAGTGCGAAAACCCTTTTTCTCAATTCTAAAAACACAAACTTCATGAAATATAGCACAATCAAACGCTATATTATCATCCCCATCATCATACATTAATTACCACACATATCAAACATCAATTATACACACAATGCATCAAAATCAATCATCAAAGGATAAAACCCCAAAACAACCAAATAGGGAGAAATCAAAAGCATACAACCATGAAACCTAAACACTACCATACCTCATCATTAGGAAAACCCTTATAGAGTTAGAATCCTCCCTTACCTTATATTGGTGACGGTTCTTGATTCCTATGGTGAAACTTCTTGCCCTAGCCTCCTAGTGTTATTTCTCCTCTTCTCACTTCTACGCTTCTTCTCTATTTCTACGATTCCTCTCTAATTCTCTATTCCCATTCTATTATATTCCAAAAATAACCTTAGTGTTCCCAATTAATTAGTTATTTAATTATTATCATAAAATAATAATAATCCTAGTATTATAATAAAATAATTATACCAATCTATATTATTCCATACACCCCATGATTATACACTTTTAGCCATACACTCCTATAATCTCAACTTTAGTAATTCTAAGGGATCTAGTTCCCAACAAAGGCGTCACTCCACATCATAAAATCCACTAATTCATAAAAATACACCGCATCATTTAATTATTTAATTAAAATAATTCTAAATAAATTGGAGTGTTACGGTGATCATTGACTATATTTTGGGTTATGTATCTTGTCACAAATATTTTAGTCATGTATGTATGATATATCTGTGATTCTCTCTATGCTATCTTTTTCTTGTAATCTTTATTAACTATGTATTTGCAATAATTGGTTTCGTATGCGATTCTTATGGTGCTTGTTTAGTTTACTATTATGACATTCTATTTTTGACTTTTGGTTTATCTCGGATTCAACTATTTGCGAGTGCTTTCTCTCTATCTTTTTTTTTGTATTTTTTATATTCGTCAAAGGGGGAGAAGGTATCGAGATATTATCAATATTGATTCCTTGAATAATTGATCGAAATTGGTCAACAATAATATCTCAAATTTGTCAAACATCAAAAAGGGAGAGACTGAAAGTGCAATCCTAGTATTGTATGGTATCGTTTATTTGTTGTGATGTTTTTGCTAATTTGAATGTATTTGTTATAGTTTGTTTGTGTATTTGCAATTTTTTTATTATTTAATATTTGAGTGCTTGTACATATACTTATTTCAATTGTATTGTAACTGATTTGGTTATTGTGTTCTTATACTATTCAGAACCCACGTTACTCAATAAATAAGAGTGTTTAATCCATAATAATGTTCCTTTTTATCCTAGCAATTTTCTTTTTTGTTGTTTCAATAGGTGTTTAAATAAGAGTGTTTTACAAGTTAGAACACTTAAATCTAGGTGTTGAGGAACTTGATTTAAATCAAGTATTAATATTAATTTGAATAAGGAACCTTGTGGAAATTAGAATTTTGCATTATAATCAACCAAATGAATGTCATATCCTGAAATGTGGACTCACAAATCATTGACGTAAATTTCTCGTGACATGTCACAATATCTCAAATGTATCAGAGTGATTTAAAATATTAATTGTTTAAAGTTCCTCTGGTTAGTATTAATTTAAAAAAGGATTAATTCTTTCTCATACTTATGATTACAAGTTAAAACACATGATATAAAGTTAATATCAATTTTAGAGTATTTAGTTTCTAGTCTTATTTTTCTCCTTCTATACTTTATAATGTCTCAACATACTTACCATGTGGTTTTTGTTGTCATCTATATTGTAATAAGTGGAGTAGTCATGTTTTTATTGGAATTTATTTTACCTGATCATTTTAGATGCTGACCCACTTAAGTACTGAAAGAGTGGCATGGAATTCTTGACTATGAGTTAAACTCTATTTCTGAAGAGGACTATAATGAATTGGTAAGAGGTTGTTTAGGAGTGTGTTTGCTTGGAGGCTTGCCAGATTGACTAGTTGCTTATGCGGCTCGCCTTGTATGTGCCTTGCTTCCTATGTGTTGTGTTGATGTTTTTCACTTTCTATCTTCTATGATTCTTTATTTTATTCTGACACATTGTGCTGGTGTAGGTGAGATTCATTAATTTTGAAAGAATGAAACC